AAACAGTCTCATGCTAGAATCAATTACCCAGGCAATCTCTCACTACCACACAGGCACAGCAAGGGTAAACACACATGGTCACTCAAAATGTCTAGAAGAATTCTACTTGGAAGTATATTAATTTTATTCCTCCTTTTTCCCCCTCTCTTGTCATCACTAGATCTGTGAATTAAATCAATATTTAGTAGCTGTCCTTTAACCATGAGTCATCTTATTTTATTTTTTTAAATCTCTTGTCCGTCATGGGATACTAAGCTCTTATTACCTACACCCAAAAAAACAAAACAGCCACTTCTCCTTTCCATAACTATTTTTTTTTCTGGTGACAGTAACGGCACTCTGAATCAAGAACCAAACTGAACATCTTCAGACTTGTGTGAGATGTTTCCCCGGAGATTTTGGTGCATGGTGGCTCAGAAATTAGTATTTCGGCCAAACACCGATAGACTGGAATTCTGGGATTTCAATAGAATTGGCTGAATGTTTTATTTACTTTATGCTGCACAATGAAAGCAAGTTTGATATTGATTGGCAGTTCATTAAGGAGCATTTGTATGGCACCAATCAGCATGAAAAGTGCTCTTTAGGTTGGTTTGACTTCACTTGAGTTATTTAATTTTTTCCATTTATTGCTTAGCTACTGTCCTACTTGAAACAGCTGACATAAACTGACTGTAAATAAGTTTTCTAAACAAATTTTTTTTCTGCATAGATCATGAGGTTTTCCACATTGCTTAGCCAAATATTTTTGTAACGCTGAGCATAATGAAATATGTAATCAGGTGGAGCATTTGCTACATTACTCATAGTCTCACACACACACACACACACACACTTGCTTGAAGCAACAGATACATGGAGAATTATATCACCACAACTACTTCAAAACAGGAGAGATTCAATTTTGTGCAAACATTTTATGGAACATCAGCATGTATCCAAAAACAGAAACACTCAAATTGGGAGATTGTTGCTAAGGATAAAGATCTTCCATGTATCTTTTCAAGACCTCCACTATTAGCGTAACAAAAGGAATCTCAACCTTAAAGGGAAACTATAGTGCCAGAAAGCAAACTCGTTTTCCTGGCACTATAGCTTCCCCCACTGTCAAGCTCCCCCCCATGGTGTAGAACAGGTTAACAACCACTTCTGTCACTTACCTGGGTCCAGCACGTCGATGTCCCTTGGCGCTGGCTCAGCTCTGCCCACACTCCTCCCCCCGCTAACCTCAGATGGCGGTGGAGACCTAATGCCCATGCACTGTAATGGCCGCACTCACATTAGGATTTCCACATATGAAAGCAGTATTCAATGCTTTCCTATGGGGATTCCGGTGACACTGGCAGTTCTCATGCATAGGAGTAAACCCTAGCAGGTAATTATTGCAGTTTATAAAAACTGCAAAAATTACATGCTCGTGGTTAAGGGTGATGGGAGTTTGCACCCAGACCACTTCAATGAGCTGAAGTGGTCTGGGTGCCTACAGTATCCCTTTAAAGACTCGCTATTATGCAGTAACCCCCTCAGCAGTTATTACCCAGTGGAAACACATATAAACACAAGATGCATTCAGCGTTTGGGCTGTGTAGCCTATGGACACATGATTCCATCAAAAACCTTTACCCATTCACTTTCAGGAAAAGTGTTTAAAATCAGACAGCTTGTAACTTGTACAACAACACATGTAATATATAGAATCTCATGCCCATGTGGGCCATATTATATTGGACAAACTTCAAATGAACTACGGAACAAATAAGAGGAAACCGCTTTTTGTGATTGGAGTTCAGACAAGCTGACATGACACCAGGTTTATTACTGAATTGTATTACAATGACGAGGAGGATATAGGATCCAGGAGCTTCGGAGACGTAAGGTTTTTTTGAGCTCACACAATCTGAATACATAGCTCTGAAAGTCTTAAATGAAAAAATTACTTTTAATTTTTTAATGTTATTTTAATGGAGGCCTAAAGACTGCATAAACAGATGCAAACTAGAATTTATGCATATCTAACCTGTATACAAAAGTTTATCTTCTTTATTTAGATTTATTTTTGTTTCACATTTAATTTTTTTAACTGTTTGCCTTGGAACTCCATAGGTACAGGTCTATTACACCAAGGAAATAGCATACCTTGGGCGATTGGTGCATTTTCATATTTAATATCTTCTCTTTTTTCTCATAGTACACAGAGGTTCTTAAACTGGTTGCCTTGGGATTTCATCTGTACTTTTTAGGGTAATATATTGATCATTTACACCAAGGAAATAACACACCTTAGGCTACTAGTGTCTTTAGCTCAAGAAAACACTTGGGCTATTATAGGTCTGACAATTACTGGATTCTGGATTTTTTTCGGTCCATTTCACTTTTTTAGTTTCTAGTTTCTTTCTGAATGGGTCCTGTCAGAAGCATAACTAGAAACCACTGTGCGTCGGTGCAGCAATTGTCCCGCCCCCCCACCCCCACACATGTGTATCATTCCCTCCCCCAGCATCTCCATGTGTCTAATTTCCTTCCCCAGCCCCCCCATGTGTCTCCTTCTGTCACGTATTCATCCGCTTATAGAAATGTGGTTAATGACATTTACTGTCCACACAGGAAAAGTTGTGCCGAGCAGCAACCTAATCCACAGAAGGTTTAATGCTGAGCAGTAATTGTGCAAATGAAACCTGGTCTCATGTATTCATCCGCTTATAGAAGAGTGGTTAATGACATTTACTGTCCACACAGGAAAAGTTGTGCCGAGCAGCAACCTAATCCACAGAAGGGTTAATGCTGAGCAGCAATTATGCAAATGAAACCTGGTAACTGACTTTGGAGTCAAAGGCCGGTTACAGCCTATCAGAAAGAAAGGAGGGGTATTTAGGCCCAGTTCTCAGCCTGCTCAGTGCCCTGTCGTGGTTTCCCTTGTGGTTGTCCGAGAGCGCGTTCCTGTTTATAGTTTTCTACCTGGTTTTTGACTTTGGCTTTGTTTATTGACTTCTCTATATTCTGGTATCCTGACTCCTGGCTTTCCTCATCGCTGTGTCCCTTTCTGTGTTCCCTGACCTCGGCTAGTATTTTTGACTATTCTTTGTACGTTAAATCCGGCCATTCTAAGGACTGGTAATACGTTACTTATTTGTCATCTGTGCTGTACAGTTCTACGTGCTGGATCAAACAGTAATCCTGACATTACGACATGGCCATAGATCCTGTAGAACTGTTTCAGCACATAGCTGCTTGCGAGAGGAAATTAGAGGAGAATGATCACCGCATGGATCAATTCACTCAGGCTTTAAGTGCGCTTCTCGCTAGAACGGAGCATCTGCAGCCTGCAGCGTCTCCTCCTATAGCACCTCTAGCCTGTGTACCTCCACCCACTGTTAATATGACTCCTAGCATCTCCTTATCACCATCCCTACAGTTTGATGGCAATATCCAGGAATGCAGGGGTTTTCTTAATCAGGTGGAGTACCATTTTGAGGCCTCACCAGGGTCGTTCCCCACGGACAGAGCAAGAATTGGTTATCTAATGAATCAATTAAAGGGCAAGGCCTTTGCCTGGGCTAATCCGTTGTGGGAGAGTAATCGGAGCATAGCTCATAATTACCAGGAATTCCTTGCCGAATTCAAGCTCACGTTTGAGCCATTGGGTAGAGAGGATGACGCCTCCACTGCCCTAATGCGCATCAGACAAGGTAACCGGTCTATCTCGGATTATGCTATTGAATTCCGTACCTTAGCTTCCGAGGTAGACTGGACTAACAATGGGTTAATCTCAGCATTCAAAGAGGGTCTCTCAGAGACTATACTAGATGAGATAGCCGCTAAAGAATTACCTAAGAGTCTTAACGAATTTATTACGTTTGTCATGCATATTGATAATAGGTTAAAACTCAGAGAAGTCACCAGAAGCAAGACCAGACGTACGGCTATGTCCCTAGCACCTCAATTCTCTAAACCTGTTTTGTCTAACCTCCCTGTACAGTCCGAACCCGAACCTATGCGGTTGGGGGTCACTAGACTGTCAGAGGCCGAAAAACAGTATAGGAGAAGGGAGGGGTTATGCCTATATTGCGGTAGAAAGGGACATATGATAACTAATTGTCCAGTGCGTCCGGAAAACTTCCGCAACTAAGAACCTTAAGGGGACAGATCTTAGGTGTGATGGAGTTGTCCTCTAACAAAAACAAAAGTAGATTCCTCCTTGAGGTATCTATTTCCCTTGACAACAAGAAGTTTTCTTGCAGTGCCCTAATGCACTCAGGTGCTGCTGGAAATTTTATTGATGTCCAGTTTATTAGGGGTAATGAGATACCGGTCAGGGAGAGACCTACGCCGCTAGCTGTAGAGGCTATTGATGGTAGACCACTCACACAACTGCTTATAACCCACGAAACTGTCCCTATTACGATCTCCATTGGGGCCTCCCATAGGGAGGAGATGAAGTTTCAGGTTATTACTTCTCCATCATGTCCTATCATATTAGGGTTTCCGTGGCTGAGTAAGCACAATCCCTATATTGACTGGGCTAATGGGGAGATATTAGAATGGGGTAAGGAGTGTATGGGGAGATGTATAAAACCAGTACTAAAGAGATTGGATACTATTGACCTTCCCACTACCACTCCCCAAACTCCTGGAGTTCCCATACAATACCGAGAACTTCAGGAGGTGTTTAACAAGGCTCAATCTGATGTATTGCCTCCCCACAGAGCATATGACTGTGCCATTAACCTGTTTCCAGGCGCTATGCCACCTAAGGGGGCAGTTTATGCCTTATCTCCCCAGGAGGGTAAAATAATGGAGGAATACATCAAAGAATCCTTGAGCAAAGGGCACATAAGAAAGTCATCCTCACCAGCTGGTGCAGGATTCTTTTTTGTTGAGAAAAGGGGTGGTGAGTTACGCCCTTGCATAGACTACAGGGCACTTAATAAAATCACTGTAAAAAATGCATACCCTATTCCACTCATTTCCGTATTGTTCGATAGACTTCAGGGAGCTAAAGTATTTACTAAGCTTGACCTTAGGAGCGCTTACAATTTGGTTAGAATTAAAGAGAATCATGAGTGGAAGATGGCATTTAATACCCGTAGTGGACACTATGAATATCTGGTAATGCCATTTGGGTTATGCAACGCCCCGACCGTATTCCAAGACTTTATAAATGATGTACTCAGGGAATTCATTTACTCATTTGTCTTGGTTTATTTGGACGATATTTTGGTGTATTCCCCTGATCTTCAGACTCACCACTTCCATGTGAAACAGGATCTGCAGACGTTGTTGAAAAATAAACTTTATTGCAAATTAGAAAAGTGCATATTTGACCAGCCTGAAGTCCACTTTTTGGGTTACAACATCTCTGCATCGGGATTTCAAATGGATCCTAAAAAACTAGAGGCTGTACTACACTGGCCATTACCCTCTGGTTTAAAAGCCATTCAAAGGTTTATTGGTTTTGCCAGCTATTACAGAAGATTCATCAAGGGATTTTCTTCTGTAATAGCCCCAATCACAAATATAACTCGCAAAGGGGTTAGTAGCACGGTATGGTCCAAAGAGGCTGTGAATGCTTTTGAGACTCTTAAACAAAGATTTGCCTCTGCGGACATACTAAAACATCCCGACACTAGTAAACCTTTTATATTGGAGGTTGATGCATCCGAGACAGGGGTGGGGGCTGTTCTCTCTCAGAGAGAAAGCCAGGGAACACCATTGCATCCTTGTGGCTACTTCTCCAGAAAGATGTCTCCTGCTGAGCGCAACTATGATATTGGCAATAGAGAACTGTTGGCCATTATTCTTGCCCTCAAGGAGTGGCGACATCTTTTGGAGGGTTCAAGGACCCCCTGTTGATCATAACCGACCACAAAAATCTGGCATATATAGGGGATGCCAAACGTTTGTCTTCTAGACAGGCTAGATGGTCACTATTCCTTTCACGTTTTAACTTTCTCATTACTTATAGACCTGGTTCTAAAAATACCAAGGCTGATGCCTTGTCCAGGCAATTTGATAATGAGTCAGCTCCGGAACAAGTGACATCTCCTATTATTCCACCAGAGTGTATTATTGCCACAACTGTCCTCTCACTGTCTTCTCCACTGCTTGGCACCATACTGGAGGCCCAGCCTCAGGCGCCCAGTGGTAAACCGTGTGATAAACTGTTCGTTCCCCTATGTGAAGGGGTTAATATCATGAAAGTGTTCCATGACAATATAACTGCTGGACACCCGGGCATCAATAAGTCCACTGCCGCGATCACTAGATCATTTTGGTGGGATTCACTCAGGAAAGATGTTAATGGGTATGTGCAGGCATGTTCTGTGTGTGCAGTTTCTAAGGTGACTCATGCACTTCCTTGTGGCCTGTTGCAGCCTCTTCCTGTTCCTGAGATTCCATGGTCCCACTTATCCATGGACTTTATTGTAGAGCTTCCTAGCTCTGCTGGGTTCACTATTATTCTCATGGTTGTAGACCGATTTTCTAAGATGGCTCACTTCATTCCTCTCAAGAAGTTGCCATCTTCGCAAGATTTGGTCCTAATTTTCATACGTGAAATTGTCCGTTTGCATGGCATCCCCACAATATTGTGTCTGATAGGGGCTCTCAGTTTGTGTCCAGGTTCTGGAGGGCGTTCAGTAAACAATTGGGGATTGATCTCTCCTACTCCTCCTCCTACCATCCACAGACCAATGGTACAGCTGAGAGGGCTAACCAGTCATTAGAAGTTTATTTGCGTTGTTTTATTAATAGCACACAAGACAATTGGTCTGAACTACTCCCGTGGGCCGAGTTCGCTAGAAACAATGCTGTTCATGACTCCTCTGGGCACAGTCCATTTTTTGTCAATAATGGTAGGCATCCTACGGTTCTCCCTGTGGTATTTTCTGATACTGCCATTCCTGCTCTGGATGAGCGTCTGGCCTCCATTCGGGATACCTGGGTTAAGGTTCAAACTGCTCTATGGGCTGCTGCTGAACGCTTCAAACATTTTGCTGATAAGCGTAGGAGTGCCAACCCGGTGTACCAAGTGGGGGACCGGGTTTGGTTGTCATCTCGCAACATCAAGCTTAAGGTGACAATCCAGTGTCTTACTCTCTGGCTCTTCCTGCATCTTTAGGGATTCCCAACACTTTTCATGTGTCCTTACTCAAACCTCTTGTCTGCAATAGATATACTGTTCCTTGTGTTCCTCCCCCTCCGGTGGTGGTGGGTGGTCAGGAAGAGTATGAGGTATCTTCTATCATGGATTCTAGGTTTTCTCAGGGCACTTTACAGTACTTGGTTGTTTGGAAAGGTTACGGTCCTGCTGATCGTTCTTGGGTTTCGGCTCCTGACCTGCATGCGGGCCGTAAGATCCGCGCTTTTCACGCTAAATTTCCTCTCAAGCCTGGTCCTGTCCGCTCGGTGGGCGTTCTTCAGGTGGGGGGTAATGTCACGTATTCATCCGCTTATAGAAATGTGGTTAATGACATTTACTGTCCACACAGGAAAAGTTGTGCCGAGCAGCAACCTAATCCACAGAAGGTTTAATGCTTAGCAGTAATTGTGCAAATGAAACCTGGTGTCATGTATTCATCCGCTTATAGAAAAGTGGTTAATGACATTTACTGTCCACACAGGAAAAGTTGTGCCGAGCAGCAACCTAATCCACAGAAGGGTTAATGCTGAGCAGCAATTATGCAAATGAAACCTGGTAACTGACTTTGGGGTCAAAGGCCGGTTACAGCCTATCAGAAAGAAAGGAGGGGTATTTAAGCCCAGTTCTCAGCCTGCTCAGTGCCCTGTCGTGGTTTCCCTTGTGGTTGTCCGAGAGCACGTTCCTGTTTATAGTTTTCTACCTGGTTTTTGACTTTGGCTTTGTTTATTGACTTCTCTATATTCTGGTATCTTGACTCCTGGCTTTCCTCATCGCTGTGCCCCTTTCTGTGTTCCCTGACCTCGGCTAGTATTTTTGACTATTCTTTGTACGTTAAATCCGGCCATTCTAAGGACTGGTAATACGTTACTTATTTGTCATCTGTGCTGTACAGTTCTACGTGCTGGATCAAACAGTAATCCTGACACCTTCCCTCTCCCCAGCCCCTCCACAAGTCTCTTTCTCTCCCTCTCAGCTACTCCCTAGCTCATTTCCCCACTCCTCCTCCAGTCCC